AGAATATCTATGATAGTTGTTGATGAAGCTTTAAGAACATTCTCGAAGTAATCACGCCAGTTACGACAGAGGTCGCAGCTATTCGTAATAATCCGTTACCTGAAACACAAAGAAAATTACGACGATTCTTGGAGCTAATAAACTATTATAGACGATTCATTCCAAACTGCGCAACAATATTACAACCGTTGACAGACGCTTTCCGAATCCATTGACAAAGGCTACAAAGGCATTCGAGATAGCTAAGCGAGCGCTAAATGAGAAGACGAAGTTAGTACGGCGAAAGAGTGAAGTGCCGCCAGCCTGTCATGATGGACGCATCGGACATGGCAGTGGGAGTCGTACTGCAGAAATTAGTAAACGGCACATCGGAACCAATTTCTTTATTTTTTAAAGAGATTAAATCCCACTCAATCGAGATATGGTACGTTCGGGAAAGAACTGTTAGCGATTTACTTGGCTATAAAACATTCTCGACATATGATAGAGCGTACCATTTTCACAATGTATAGAAATTATAACGAAGAGAATCCTGTAACGACAAGATATAGTCGAAGAGTTAGATGGTCACAAAGATACATAACTACCATTTTGAACTAATAATTATTTTCACCTCTTCAAATGTGAACTGTTTCCTGTTCGTTTTTTATATTTGCACATTGAGAATTTTAACTTATTTATTATTATATTCGACATATTTTGTATGTTCCGATGTCAAAGTGTAGAAACTTCTTAAAGTATTACTGTATACTTTTGATCTCTCATTATTATCTTATCTAGCCTCATGGACGTATACGAAATCAAGCTCACACACATTTGTAATAACTTAAACAAGATAGCTCTACCTATTTAGAAAATATCGACATTTTCCATTCTGTTAAATTCAGTAATTTTTTCGGAAACATGCCTAAACACTGACTACCTCGACAATATAGGAGTAGTCTGGAATAAAGCTAGGAGTGGCCAAACCACAACATGGCACAAATCTATGACGCCATCGGCAATGGCACTAGTTCATGTTAGTAGGTCTAGACTACCGAGTTTGCGTCCGCGAGACAACAGTAACCGATGGTTAGAGACTTTAAATGACCTAGCTCAATGCAATGCCACAGGTGTATTGATTCTTTGTCTTCTTTGAAATTCTAATCTTTTTAAATTTATTTCACTGAATTATGACTTCTTGAATAATATCTTCGAACCATAATCTTCTTCATTACCGCTAATACTTCTACTATATTTATCATTATATGGGATTTGAATTGATAAATCCATCTGCTTTTAAATAATATGATATGGTAACTTCAAGTGATGTAATACATACGTATCAAGTTTTACATTGTAACTGACTGACTGAATATTTCATCGTGTTATATGAAGGTTATCGACCAGTCCAACATGAATCGATTCATGATATCAATAAAACTCAACAATCTCCACAACCCTATAATGGAAAATATACATATATTTCTTAATCATTCAACCATATATACAAACTGATTGTCATGTTTTTTTTCTGTATTGACCAACTAACTAACTAGCTAACTATCTATGACTAAAACGAACGCATTCAATATTCAATTTAGTATTTTTAATCACTCATACAAAATTCATTGTGTATGGAGTAGTAGTAGTAGTATATTCACATTTACAAACAAAAATCTATTCTAATATTCATTTTTTAAATATTATCAATCAATAATAAATATTTTAGCCTAATCAATGTATCCACTCATTTTTTGTTTTGTTTGAATAAAACAAAACACCCAGAAAAAAAATAGAAGAAATTCATTTTTCAAAAGCGTAGAAAAACAATTATAAATAGAATCAATTAGCCTGACAAGTTAGTCAGTCAGTCAATCGATCGATCAGTCTAACCCATGAATTGATCACGTGCACCAAATTTATCATTCATTCATTCATTGATGAATTGACATTGAACAACAATTACAATGTGTGATAAGGATGATGATGATGATGAGGATCACGTGATTTGAATTAAATCAATACGGTGTGAATTTTCTCCAGAAAAGCAGCAGCATATTGTTTTTTTTCTCAAATACCATAAACATAGAGATGTGAATTTATGTAGTAGTAATAATAAATAGGCAAGAAAAAAAATAATTCAAAACACATCATCGTCGTCATAATCATCATTAGAAATCTGAATTTAAGACAAGTGTAAGTGTGTAACAGAATTATAAATCAATTCCAGTACTATTGGTTATTGATTATTTTTTGTGTTATGATTGAGTTATGGCGATTGTTACGTTGCGATTAGAATTATGAATTGATCATCATTGTTATACGATGGTCATTTCATCCTAGTAATGGGATTCATCAGTGTCAGTGCGCAGGCATGATCCGCGCTCGCGAAGATCGGACCTGGGACCTTTCGTCTGGCACATGAAATCTTGGCCTCTTTTGATTACATACACTTAGCCACATCATGTTTACTTCCACTGACAAGTGGACTGAGTCATGTTGGTAAGTGTAGGCTGCATGGTTGAGGTCCGCGAGACGTAAGTCACCAATGGTTAGAGACCTTGAACGACAAGGCTCAAAATCGTTTGCAATGGAGCAAGTGCATCCACTCTTTGTGTTCTCTCAAATTCTAATCTTCTGAATTCGTCATGGCCTCTATCTTTCTCTTTCTAAATTTATCTCACTGAATTAGACTTCTTGAATCATATCTTGGAACAATAATTGTCTCCATTACTACTGCTAATACTTCTACTATCGCTATCACTGTTGGATTTGAACTGACAGTTGCGTCTCTGTGTCAATGTGGTATGTCAACCTGAACCTTCTGTACGCACGTACAAAGTTCTGTGTTGTATCTGTCTGTTTGACATGTCTATTTCAAAGTGAGATATACCATGATTCAAACAAATTGGTAGAATGTAAACTTGCAAGTCAATTAAACCGCCAGTCAATGACACATTTTTCACTTATACAAAATTGGTTTGTAGTTTCACTAAAACAATTCATGTTGTCTTCTGTTCTGTATTTTTATTTTAGCCGAACAGAAAACATCAATTTTCTTACCAATAGATAATAATAACAATGAAATACAACAGATTCAGTTCATGAGTAAATCTTTCTCACACAGTACTACAACACGTCAAGGTCAACAACAACAACAACACAAACAAAACAAATCTGCCCTTGAAATGAATACAGACAATGATGAATTAGAATCAATAATCAACTTAATGAATACAACATTTCAAGGTCATCATCATCATCCTCATCATCACTGGTTATCTAATAATCCAATCGAAGAAGAAGACGAAGCATATCATCAAAAATCTAATCAACCATTTCAAATTACTACTAATGACACGTGTCCAGCAATCAATGTGAATATGACTGCTGCAATTGATGAGGATGATGATGCTTATAGAAATGAACAAACACAATCATTCTACCCACCAACATCGTCATCATTATTGTTATCACAAAACAATGAACAAGACTTGTTTAATTATTTGAATGCTTACAATCATAATAATCATTATTATTATTGTTGTTTTTGTGATGAGTGTCAAAATAAACAATGGAATACTAGTCATCATCATTATCATCCTACTACTACTTCTACTATAATCAATAAAGATTATAATAAATTACAGAGAACAGAATTATCAATGCAAGCAGACGAGGAACAATTACTTTCTGACTTATTTTTCACATAAATACAATGAACACTAACTTTGGATGAGAAGAACCTACAGATATATATATATATATATATATATATATATATATATATATATATATATATGTACGTGTGTGTGTGTGTATATATACATTTACTATGCATTTTCTCTTAGTTGTTTTTAATTGTTTTCAGTAAGTTCTTATTCGATAATAATAATAATAATAATAATAATAATAATAATAAAGGAGAAAATGGTTATGTTGTGTGTGTGTGTGTGTGTATGTGTACGCGCTTATCAATCTGTCTTTCAAATGTTCAATTAAAGTTACATTTATGAAGCATTTTAGTAGACATTTTTTCTCTTGTTCTATTTTAATATGAAAACTATTCATATTACATATAAATAAGTTTTCTGTGTATACATGGTAGTAATTATCAAAACTCCATGTGGAGATTTTCTAGGACTACAGTCAATCCTACGCCTGAATAGGTGAGGAAGGAGGTTGGACATGAGGTTAGCGGTGACCCTATCCTGTAGAAATCCAACCAGCTAGAAAGAAAAGCAGTAACCAGAAAAATAATTCACTTGTTGGCGGCCTTACTCGCCGTTCCATTAGAGATAACAGGTTTAAGTAGGTAAAGTGTTGATCAACTTTCCGGATATAAAAAACACAACCAAATAAAATCATCTTAGAATATTCATTCAATATCCTAAGATAATTGTTTGTAAGTTTAATTCTATTGGTTGATTCCTAATGGTCGTCCTAACTGTCCATGTCACAGACTTCAATGTTGATTCCTATTCGACCTAAATGTATAAATACGCATTATCTGTAACGTTTTATGACCCGAAACCGGATCCCTAGTCCAGGATCCTGATTCTCTTCTGGACTCGGACCTTGTACTTTCTGGATGTTTGTAGAATACACGTTCTACTTCATATCAAGTCTTCTTCTTTTAATCAATGGGGGTTTGGGACACATGGATTAGAGTAAAATGTTGTATCGCCGGATCCTGGCTGTCGTTTTCCGACGAAGGTAAACTCGTAATAGTTCAAACATATCAAATTGACGTGTTTACGTGAATTCGTAACAAATCGTCATTGAAAATCATTGTACTTTTCCCATGTTTTACATTTATTCCATGAATGAACAATACTCCACCAGTTGTAGAAAAGTACTGTTTTTTTTGTTCACTTATGCTTTTGAAACACGTCACTAATTTGTTAACAGTCAAGGTAAAATAAATAATTACTTAGGAAAGTATTATTATAGGATATTAGTAACGAACATGCTTGTTAATTCGTGTATATCACAGTATCACAATCATTAATGATATACATATACTGAAATCATCAATCGATCATTGTTAGACCAGCATTATAGAAACCTGGAAGTACTGGACCGCTGTTTCATCCTGGTATGAGACGTTCCAGTGGCAGTGCTCATCCACGACTCCTGCCACTCACAGGATTCGAACCCAGGATCTTAGCTTTTTATGTGCTAATGCTTAACCTCAAGATCACCGAGTCGGCCGGCGTCCAACGCTGTTAATGTATAATTCTAACCAATCTTCTATAAGGATTTTGCGCAACTTCACCTCAATGTAAAACAACGACCTACAAAATACTTTAAACCAAAAGTCATAGAATGTGGTCACTAGCTTCGCGAGGAAGTTCTCCAGCTCCTAGTGAAAAGACGTGACTATCAGTGGAGTTCAATCTTGTGGACTGTAGGCAGTAATTACAGAAGACAATGAGTGAGGTTGCGC